AAGTCTGGAATAGTACAGCACTTTTATTATATCTGTACTTGCTCAAAGTATGGAATAGTACAGCACTTTTATTGTGTCTGTGCTTGCTCAAAGTCTGGAATGTTACAGAACTTTTATTGTGTCTGTACTTGCTCAAAGTCTGGAATAGTACAGCACTTTTATTATATCTGTACTTGCTCAAAGTATGGAATAGTACAGCACTTTTATTGTGTCTGTGCTTGCTCAAAGTCTGGAATGTTACAGAACTTTTATTGTGTCTGTACTTGCTCAAAGTCTGGAATAGTACAGCACTTTTATTATATCTGTACTTGCTCAAAGTATGGAATAGTACAGCACTTTTATTGTGTCTGTGCTTGCTCAAAGTCTGGAATGTTACAGAACTTTTATTGTGTCTGTACTTGCTCAAAGTCTGGAATGTTACAGAACTTCTCCTGCATATCTATTTGTTCAATGTCTGGAATTTTCAATACACATGTTTAAGTACTTAGTAATAGTCAGTATTACAGTACTCTTCCTGCTTCTGTATTTGGTCAAAACCTGGATCTTACAGTACTCTTCCTGCTTCTGTTTCTATACTTCTTCAAAGCCTGGAATCTTACAGTATTACTCCTCATCCTGTTATTACTCAGAGTCTGGGGTTGCACAGTATTATTCCTGCTTCACTATTTAATCAATGCTTGGAATATTACAGACTCCTTCTCCTCCTATGTGTGAAAGAAAATTTTGCAAGCCCTTAGAATTGTTATAAATGGCTAGTATTTTGGCTTCCTCTACTTATCTAACTTTTGTTAAGCTCCACCCATTCATGGTGAATTGTTCATGTGCTGCACAGCAGTCATTCAGTGAAATTCAAGATAATACTTTATGTTATATTCACAAAGATGCATTAAAAGTTAACAAACAATTCTGTAAACAGTGCTTTAGAGAATGTTATATGAAACCTCTAAGTTTTATAATCTTGAAAAATGAAAAGAGATTATCTTTAAGTAACAGTTATTGTGTATTCTCAGGAAGTAAATAAGCTATAAGAAACCTTTTAGCTGATAAAGTGTATTTTTAATATCTAACTAGTGGAACATTAAAGACTGGTTATAGCTTTATAAATAGATAAAACATCCAATGGTAGCATTATACCTGATTATATCTTAATTTTTACATATACAGAACTATATCAAATAATTTCCTAAGAGGATTTAAAATTTTACTTTAATTTCCTTAAATCTGATAAGATGAAATTTTTTATGCGTAATCATTTGTTATTTATGGGGGATTCCTTTTCAGAAAGGATATTACACTTATGTCGGTATACGAGTTATTATGATGTCAGCAAAGTTTGTTCTTAGATGACAGTTTAAAGTTACCAGGCACATTTTTGTAGTTTTTATTAGCAGTTTGTTTTGGTTGTATCTAACTAGAAGACTCTAATTTAAGATCATGCCTAGCTCTTGACAAGAAATGAGTTGATCTTTAGGAGTAACATATTTTAAGGACAGTTTAGATGCAGTGTTCAGAGACCCCTGTAAACTTCTATAATGTAGCTCAAATGTAGTTCGAGGTGTTTAATATTCTTTGTTTTAAGCAACAATAACTAAACAGCCACTAAACAGAAAGATGTAATGTGTTTCTTACACTAGCTTGTATTAAATATTGTTTTAAGAATCCTTACTTGCCTTTAATGAATTTAATAATGCTAGTTAATCCCAATATTGAAATTATTCTTTCCTGATTTTTTTTCTCAAAGTGACTCACAGTTATAATCTAAACAATTTTATTACCTGATATTCAGTAAGAATTATTTGTCAATTATAAATTTAAATCATGTTTTTCTATCACCATTTAGCTATTTCTAGTTAGAAAACTGAAGAATTTAACTTTCATTTGCAGGCCTGAAATTGGAAGGATATCAGACATTCTTGTCACACTTGGTCCATTTTTGAAGCTTTACTCTGCATATATCAGAGATTTTGAATCAACAATAAATTTGTTTGAGGAGTGTAAGAAGAAATATCCATTGTTTTCTCAAGTAGTAAAAGAATTTGAGGTAAGAATAGGAACAAAGGAATCTGAATGTAACATAAAAACATTTTTAGTGAGGATAAAAGTGAAGAAATATACCTTAAAACAAAGTCATGGGTTTGTTTTTTGGAGGAAATAACAGCAAAGAAATATACCTTAAAATAAAGTCATAGGTTTGTTTTTAAGTGGGGATAGCATCAGAGAAATGTAACTTAAGATCATAAGATCATGGATTTGTGTTTAAGTGGGCATAATAGCAGAGGAATATAACTTAAAACAAGGACAAAGGAAGGGATAGTAGCAGAAGGGGTATTACTGAAAACAGGTCATAAGCTTGTTTTTAGGAGAGGTTAGCAGCAATTTTAGCTTGAAACAAATATAAATCATTGTGACAAAAGTTGTGCTGGACTGCATCTGTTTGTCAACATTCCTCTTAACGTGTCCATTACAGTTTCAAATCAGAAGTGTATGAATTAGTACTTCAAATCTATCATTGTCTCTATAAGTACAAGGCATTGCATATGTAAATAACATTTCAAATAAACTGTCACTAGCTGTTAAGCTGGATTTTTTTGTAAAGTATGTGAATGATCTGTATTACCTCTAGCTTTGTTGAATATGTTTGTTCAGGTGTAACTTGAAGTTTATTATTGGTTGGTTTACTATGCAGCATTTAATCACCTTTACAACCTTATAATTGCTTTGCTAAAATAACAAGTTATATTACAAGAAAATTTACACTTTGTTTTTAATAGGTTTAAAAGTGTGAAAGCTTTAAGAATTGTATCTAAAAGCATTAAACCCTCTTTACAAAAACCCATATTTAGAGACATGATTATAAAAATGTGTTTATTCATTCACTTATTTCACATATTTCTTGCTCATTTTGTTAAATTTTCATCCATTATGCATTTATTGATTTATTTAAGTTGTTTTGGTTGTGTCATCATTGACTCATTAACCTTATTTTGTTTTAGTGCTGCAGTTACTTTTTTAAAAGAATTGCAATTTTTTTTTCTGCAAACTACTGTATACATAACCAACATGACTCATGAATTTTTCTTAGGCACAGCCTAGTAGAAAATATTAATGGCTAGTTTACAGGTCTAACAGTTGTGTAAATTTTTACATTGATTTTTCTGACTAATTCCTTGTCATACTAGGATATAAGTATATGGATTAGTTGTGAATTGTGATTAATCACTAATTTTTTTTAGCTGATGTGCATGTATGCCTTTCATTAATCCATTATAACCAATATTAATTTTATACTTTCTGTTACATTATAATTTGTATTATTATTATTATTACCATAATTTCTACTCTGCTAACCAGCATTTCAAAATAAATTTTACCTAAATATACATGCATATATATACATAGCTTAATATTTATTACTGTTAGTTGGGATAGACTTAACCTTGTTTCATGTTCATGTATTCCTTTATTATACTTCAATTTTCTGTCAATTTTAGGATGAGTTTCAAAGAGGTTGTGTGTTATTTATAAATGTATCTGTATACATATGTACTGTAATATCTACTTCCAAAATTCAAATTATGCATTTCAGCTTACTGACTTATTATTCATTACTATTAGATCCTAGTTTACCTGTTATGATAAATTAATGTGATATGTCTAGTAATTTAGTTTTTATCTATTCTATAGCTTTTTTCACTTTGAGTCAGTTTTAAGTAACCTCAGTGAATAATCATTGGATTTTATATAAACGTTTATATAGACAGAGGGTTGAGTTCATTATATTAAAATAATTTTCAATGTGCTAATCAATAAGTCATGTGCCAGCCAAAGTCAATATAAAGTTACAATGGAAGAGAATGTATTAGAACTACATTCTGACATTTCTTGGCATTTGGTAGGTAGTGTAATGCTAACAAAAATTGATTTCTTTGGAGAAAGGAATGTAATAACTCTTAATGAGGCAGAATATTCATACATTCAGATCATAAACATGTATTTAGACTTAGAATTTTCAAGACTTACTGTCATTGGAAAACAAAGGAATATGGATCACCTTAGGGAACCAGGACCATCCAGAAAGAGGCCTGCAACAACTTGTAATCCATCCATGATAAGCAAAGTTTGGCATCTTCTAACAGATGAGAATCCACAAATACAAAATTAAGTGACAAAAATCACCTATATGCCCCAGACAACAGTACAAAACATAATCATGAATAATTTCCATCTGGAAACGTGGTACAAAGTCACATGCACACAAGTTCCTTCAACATTATATCCATTCAGCTGTCACTTGTGTCAAGAGTAAAACAGATATTCATGTTTTCTTTTGAAGAAATAAGCCTATGTGTATCATCAAAAAGTTTGACAGGCTCTTAGTAAACATTACAAGTATGTTATATGCAAAAAACCTGAATTTTTTGTCAAATATTTTTACTAAAGATTTGTCTGTGAATTTACGAAGTCACTCTAATTCAGATTGGCCAGTCTAAATGCAATGTTATTTTCACGTTAAGTGAAAAAAAAAATGTTGTCTTGCAGTTTTCATATTTCATCTACAGAACCTCTAAAACCTTCTAAATGAATAACAAAAGTTTTTTCAATAAAACTTTATACTTTATCTCATACTTTCTCTTCCCTAACACTAACTATAGCAGAATTATTCTTAGCAAATGCTGAAAAATATGAAATAAAGTTAAATTACTTTTTTCTAGAATGACTGCAGATTGTAATAGACAATAGCAATTATTTATCTATACAGTTTCAGACTCATAACAGTTTACCTCTGTTTTGATTTAATTTTATTGTTCTTTAAACTGTGTCTAACTGGCCTAAGAAAGCTATAAATCACCCAGTGAGAGATTAGTGCAATTTACAATAAAGTATTGAGTTACATCCATTCATCTTGCACTGTTCATCATGTGTGTGTGTGTGTATTGTTGAAGGTAAAATTTTTTTATTTAATTTTTTTCATCCATGTTTTCTTATCTAACATAATAAGTTTCTAACTTTTAAATTTTAGTTAATTTTATCAAAACATACAAATATAAATCAAGAAATTTACCATATACTTTGGCTTGTAAAACTATTTCTACTCAGATGACTTTTAAATAATGGGATGATAAAATGTTGAGATGACTGATAATTTGGATGTTAAAATGTTCAGATGACTGATAAATAATGAGATGATAGAATGTTGAGATGACTGTTAAATAAAGGGATGATAAAATGTTGACATGACTAATAAATAATAATTTTGAGATGACTGATAAATAATGATAAATAACTATGTTGGTTATCCCTAAACAATTCATGTAGCTTTCAAATGTACATTTTAGAACACAACAAATACGTCAAACACTAGTGTAGAATGTCCAAAAAGTAATGTAAGGCTTTAATTTTCCATTAAATAGGTTAAAAATTTCATTACTTTCTGTAGCAATTTATTCTGTTTAAATCCATCGATCTCTCAGTGAATTGTTCAGCTTTTACAACTCAAACAAAACAAACAGTTGTATGATTTACATGGTGTAGAAATTGCTCTTGCTTTTGGTTATAAACATGTCCAATAGCAGTGTCACAGGAAGTTATAGGCATTTCTTGAGAGACAGAGGAAAGGGGAGGGGCATGTCAGTGTTTATTGAACAAATACAATATCTCTGTAATTCAAGAAGATAAAAAGTGGAAATTTTATGTTTTGTTTTGACAATATATATAAGGAAGGAGAAAAAATATATAGATAAGAAGTCATAGTGCCACCAAGTCATGTGACTCTGAGAGGTGCATATTCAGAATTTATTTAAATATTTCCTTTTGAAAGTAAGAAATTGAACCTAGATAATATAGAAGTTTGAATTATATACTATGTTTTAGTACCTAGTTTATAGACATACATTGATAATAAAGTAGTTTAATTAAGTTTTGAATGTAACTGACAACTTCATGACTTAGCCATACATATTAGATTCACGAAAAGCTTGCAGGGAGTAGTGGTGTGCTTTTCACATGATGGAGCCCCTTTGCAATGGGAGTTAAACCTTTCAACTTACACAGCCACCAGATAGAGCAAATGACTTGATGTGGTGACACAGGTTGTAACAATGCGGTGAGGCTCCAAAATCATTTTAACATAACATACTCAACCTCTGTATGTGTGTTCATATATATGTTATCCTTGTGGAAATTAGAATTTTTCAACATATTGTAATGTTTATGATTTAGTTGGTACATTCATGCAAAATTTGATTGTAAAGCAACTAATGAAAAATGTTTGTTGGTTGTGTGTATTTTTATTTTATTTTGTCCCCCTGATATGCACTTTGTTTCTATTATTGTAAAGAAAAGTTGGTTGTTTTTGACAGATGAACCCTCGCTGCCAGAGACTGTCTCTGAACCATTATATGCTTAAACCCGTCCAGCGCATTCCACAATACCGACTTTTGCTGCAAGATTACTTGCACCATTTACACATAGATTCTCCTGATTATGAAGACACAGTTGCAGCATTGGAGATCATGAGTCAAGTTGCTGATCATGCAAATGAAACGATGAAGCAAGAGGTAATAAATATTATTTATTTGGCTCCACCAGAAATCACAAATTAAATTATTTAGAAGATAATTATATGAAAGATATTATTCATAATTTAATTTCCTTTGTCAATGACAGTATACAATAAAGTACAAGTACTGTACAAGGAAATTAAAATGGATTTTTTTTCAGGTACACAAAGAAAGGGAAGTTTAGTAAGATGAAAATTAAACTTAAATTACAGCATGACACTCCATTATTTTAAGTAAGTGTTCATTCATAAATGTAGTTTTCTTTTGTGTATGTTTTCCTGGAGCTGAAGACATGCAGTAGAACTGAATTATTGTCTCGATTTACAATTTTATAACCATGTCACATCATTTTAACATTTTTTTCATGTGCTACAGACCACATGACTTTGAATTAAGAAAATAGCTTCCAGTTTTTCAAAAGTTTTATACATATGAATATTATAGTTCGTGCCAAATTTTCCTTCCCTATAGGAAATTATAATCTCTTGAAATTAACAAATATTTCTGATATTTATTTATAAATTTATTTTCCTTACAGAAAACATGAATTCTAATGAATCCAAACACCTAAAGTATTTTAAGTTATTAATAATGACTAAAGGAGAATACATCAAAACCAATGTCTGATATTGTATGCTGAAAGCCCAGGAAATGGTCTGCAATCACAATTTTTTGGAATGTTAGAATAAATAAGACAAACTTTGTAGTTTTTTTTTACGCATTTGTGGTCAGCTTTTTCCAAATGTTCAGAATAATTTAACCCTAGAATTACTGATTTGGTCCATTTAAACCATATCACCTTTTTTAAACACACTTTTCTAAATTGTTTATACATCCAATTGGTCATGGGTCTGTAATTGTTCATAACAGATTCTCTAATAATCCACAAGTCACATAAAAAACTAATTTAAAGCACCATAAATATTGTAATTAATCCCACTCATTACTGCTGTAGTTTGTTTCATTTTACATAGGAAATGAGGGATTACACCAATGTTTTTTTTTGTCAGCTCTTTACCCTGAGTGTTGTAAGACAAAAAATACTGCAATATCTGGGCCTCAAGAATTAAGTAGTATATTGACAAGTCATTAATTTAATGTTAAAAAAGACATCACATATGAGCTAATATAAAGTAGGAAATGAATAAAAGGTTGTAAAATCTGATGGAATAAACAGGTTTATTTTATGTTTTGATAATTTATTTGCTTATCAATATGTAAATGTACAAAGTATGCTTTGTATGATATCATTCTTAAAAGAACCACACATACACATCAAGAACACAGATTAGTGAAACCGTCATTGTTAAAGGAACACACACTTCAAATTAGTGACACCATTCCTAAAAGAGAGCCTACATATACATCAGACTAGCGAAGAAACTTAAGTGAAAATAAAAGAAAAACTTACAAATGTGTTTTGACTATTGTTTACAGTTGTTCTCAATGTTCATAATCATACCTAAGTTATATTATCAACTGGTAAAAAGTAGAACTTCCTCAATTAGTCACTGCTAATTACAAGCCCTTCATTAAAAGAGAAGATAAGAAATTCAGTGTCTAGAAATTTTTATGTTATAATTTGATAGTTTCATGTTGTGTGTAATTTGAAATAAATAAAGACGTAATATGTTCACAGGACAACCTCAGCAAGCTCATCACCATACAGAATAGAATATTTGGTCATCATGAAGTAATTCGGCCTGGAAGGGTAAGGAATGTGATATATTGAAGTATGTACGAGTGGAAGGGTGTGATGTGTGTAGTGCACGTAAGTTTTATATGCTGAGAGCTTGTTCATAGAAGTCACCTTATGAATCATCAGTAAGCTTGAGGTTTATAAAACTAAAATCCAAGGTTTGATATTCTGTAGTGGACACAATGCAGTCAGTCCATAGTGTATCATTGCACTTAACGAAAAATAAGAAGAACATACAAAGAAATGAGAACTGTCTCTACTGTCCAGGTTATGAACCTGCGGCACATATGTCTAGAGTGACACATAAGGCTGTTTTCACTGACACACAGTAGTGTCTCATCTGTTCAGAAAAGAAAAACACAACTCTCCCAAAATATTACCCTTGACCTAATACTACAAGTGAAGTGAATAATCTTACTGATTTACAGTATACTAATAATATAAGAAGTCGCATGACACTCAAATTTCACAAAACTTTACGTGAGAACAGTTTGCTACTTAGTAATAAAAAGGTGCGCACACAACCCCTGACCTGGGAATAAAATATTGTTCCATGTTTCGGATATTAAAATGTTACACATGCACTAATCACAACTCTAGTAATGTTAATTGCTCAAATTTTGAAGTTACAACCATATAGGAACTTTTTAAAAGAACTACTCTCTCGTACTCTAAACCTGTGTGCTTTTAAATGAAGGCTAAATGATGTTCTACCCATTTTCTATGTGTATTGACATTAATTATCAAGAGTTCCTTGTTCTCTCTAGCATATATGCATTTTTGATTTTCCTCATTTTGAGTGGCTGAGATATATAACATGTATGTCATTTTAGCTTTCAAAAAAAATACTATCTTAGAAATTGGCTTTACCATTCTGTTGTTACAGTTACAATTTAATGTGCACAATATTTTAGAAAGCAAAAGGTATTTTGTAGAAGCTTATGAAAAAATAAGTAACTTAGATTATCTTGAATACATATATATGAAGAATAAACTGTAACTTAATTTATAGCTTTTCATTTTTTGTTTATTTTTGTATTTTTAAATACAAACCATGAAGGTTGACTTTAGAATAAAATTATTTTCTTTGTTATGTTTGCTCACTGTTTTTTTCAACTGACATTTAGTTTTATATTTAGATAAGAGATTTTATCATGTTAAAAATGAATGTTTTTTTTTTTACATTATTAAATTTTGTCTTTCAGGTTTTTATAAAAGAAGGTGAACTCATGAAACTTTCTAGAAAAATAATGCAGCCTCGGTGGTTTATATTGGTTAGTAAAGAACATTAGTAAAATGTTATTATTTTATCCAGATATAAATCTGTTTTCACTACATATGTTGAAAGAAGTTGTGTTTGTGTACCATGTTTTTCATAGTTTTATGTTTTATTACATAAGTTTTCCAGTTTATCTTTAGTTATCCTAAGTGCCAAAATTATCGTAGTATTTCTTCAGACTTAATGTACATATACTCATTATTCTGATTCCCATTATTAGGTAGATAACAGATATGAATAAGAACAACTATTTTATGTACAATTCACCATTTTGAGACAGTGAAATAGTTTTCAATTTCAAAACAAACAAAGAAATTGGATTGAACTGTAAGTTGGCAGCATAAATTTACATTGCTCATAGTTTTATATCCTGCAGTCCTATGAATGTAATGTTAACATGGGCAAATTAAAATTGAAAAATTCAGCTTAGCATTGTTATGATTCCAGTAAAAGACTGAATGTTTATAGTTTTTTTACGAACTTTACTTCAGATACGGTATAGAAAATAATATAAATTATACAAAATAATAATATATAATATCAAATCTTTCTTGAACAAAAAATGTTTTTATTTGTGATTCAAGTGTTCTTAATTTTTCTTTCTGAATTTTTTTTATCTGAAGTTTGGTATACTTATGTGACTGATCAAAGGGTATTTTTGAAATGAAAATATAAAAAATATTGAAATCTTGAAAAATTATATAATGTTTGAACCAAATACAAACTTAAACATTTAAGTGATTGATAAAAAATAATTATTGTTCTCTACCACAGTATCTCAGCTTTTAGCTAAAAGTTTGTTGTTTTAACTAAAGTTATCTAACATCTGTGATACTTTTCTACCTGCTTTATAGTTCAGTGATAGTCTTTTGTACATGACAAAAGTCCAGAATAATCTATATCGAGTAAACCATGAGCTACAGCTGACTGGTATGAGGGTTTCAATACCCATTCAACAAGATTACCAGAACGAGTTCAGCATCGTCAGTGTAACGCGATCCTTTTCTCTGGCTGCTAGGTAACTAAATGCAGAACAAATCCCAAAAATGTGATTGTTTCAGTTAAAAGGAATACTGACCTTCTTTAATTTACTGATCACATGGATGTTATAAAAAATAATGAATGTGAATACTCATGTTAATACCATATAATCAAGATTTCTAGATCTTGCTGGGAAACCCAGTATTAAGTGTGTGTCAAGAATATTCTCAATTATAAATATTCAGTGTGTGTGTGTGTATATACTTTCCTACCTTATATTGAAAAGTATGCAGTTTTATATGGTTTAGAACTATCACACTTAATAAAACAGATATTTTATGTAATTTGTTTTCTGTACAAAAATAATAGAGAAATTATGAAAATAACTTACGATGTTATAGCTAACATAATTTCTGCTGTTACAGAGTTATATCAATGAAAGGACAGTGCAAAGTTATTAATAATCTTTCAAGTAAGGTAGTAGATAGTGCAGCTTATAAGAAAATGTATTGTAGATATGTAATTCTATTTTTCTTCTTGTTGGTTCTAGCTCTCCAGAGGAAAGAGACCAGTGGATTAATGCCTTAAGTCATGCTATAGAAGAAAATGCTTGTAAACGCAGTACTTTTCAGAATATTCATCACCATCAAAAGGTACGCTTTATTTGCATTTTACTCCTGATTTTCTGTGTGGTAATTCCATTTTTCCATCTCTTGCAAGCCAGATTTGAACCCGGAACCACTTGTGTTACAAGCAAGTGCTTTACCAGTTGAGCTAAAGGGTTAACCCTGCTACTCATTACTAGTAAGGCATTTGTTAACCACTCAAGATAGTACATCGCTATATAGGTTAACAAATTATTGCTGTTGAATAAATTCTGCCTTAGTTACAGTCAGTAAATGTTCTTTTGTTTAAGTGTACTCAGATGTCTCAAAATAAATAATATAAATACTTCTAAACATAAATCATACTAGCAAAAAGGTATTGCTCTTTTCGTGGTTAAAAAATCTCATTATGTGTTTTGTAATCGTGAAGCTATTTTTGTGAGATTCCAGAATAATTAATAATTTGTTTTTGTGAATAAAGATATTCAAATTGTAAAATTGTTTTGCTACTATAATACTACGAGAAAAAATAAATGATGGAACTTGCTCTACATTTTTATATGAAGCACATAATTAAAAGAACTGTAGTAGCTTCCAAACACACCAGCAACTGGAAGAAGTTTCTTCCTGAACTTTACTTGTCTCATGACAAACTATTCTTGGCAATTTTTCATTCAACAAGAAAAGGACTGGTGTCTCAAAGCAATGTCAGTAAAGAAAAAACACAAGATACTCAAAGTCTAGAAAATTTTACCATGACCAAAGGTTGAATATAGGGCTCACACTAAAGGCATAAGTTCAGTGTGCTACTATCTGAACTAACAGGGATCTAAAACGAAGCAGATAACTCCATTCTCACTGTCTTAATATCAGTTCACTAAGGATAAGGCTCACCTTCTCTCGCCTCACAATACATCTTAGTACATAAGGCTAATAACACAAAACAACAACTTTAGGCCAACAGCAACTCTACTTTCTCTTTAGCCAACAGTTGACACACAGGCAACATCACCTAACAGTCCAGGGCAACATTATACATAGACAACATCACTGAACATTCCAAAATAACAGTACACACACAGACAACATCACTGAACATTCCAAAATAACAGTACACACACACAGACAACATCACTGAACATTCCAAAATAACAGTACACACACAGACAACATCACCTAACAATCCAGGGCAACATTATACATAGACAACATCACTGAACATTCCAAAATAACAGTACACACACACATATACAACATCACTTAACAACCCAGAACAACATTATACATAGACAATATCACTGAACATCCTAGAACAACAGTACACACAACATCACCTAACAATCCAAGACAACAATACTCACACACACACAACATCACTGAACATTCCAAAATAACAGTACACACACAGACAACATCACTGAACATTCAAAAATAACAGTACACACACACAGACAACATCACCTAACAGTCCAGGACAACATTATACATAGACAATATCAATGAACATCCTAGAACAACAGTACACACAACATCACCTAACAATCCAAAATAACAGTACACACAACATCACTGAACATCCCAGAACAACAGTACACACAACATCACTGAACATCCCAGAACAACAGTACACACAACATCACCTAACGATCCAAGACAACAGTACACATACACACATCATCACCTAACAACCCAGAACAACAGTACACACAACATCCCAGAACAACAGTACACACAACATCACCTAACAATCCAAGACAACATTATACATAGACAACATCACTTAACAATCCAAGACAACAGTACACATACACACATCATCACCTAACAATCCAGGACAACAATACTCACACACACACACAACATCATTCAACAAACCAGGACAACAATACTCACACACACACACACACACACACAACATCATTCAACAAACCAGGACAACAATACTCACACACACACAACATCATTCAACAAACCAGGACAACATCACTGAATATCCCAAAAGAACAGTACACACACATATAATATCACTTAACAACCCAGGACAACATTATATGTAGAACAACAGTACACAGACATATCTACTGACATCCTGGGGCAACAGGGCACACAACACACAGATGTATACATATGACACTTGAACATTCCCCAAGTTATGCACATAGACTTACTGCTTTCTTTCACCTTTCATTATGCATAGCTGTCTTTCTAGTTTGAAAAAGCAACTACTTATTGAGCAACATTATGACAGATCAAGGTTTAAGGAAACACTCTGGCTCTTAGTTTCTACTTGTGTTCTTAGGCTTTTGTTCTTTATCAACATAGCTAGTTAGACTCAAGTCCTCAGCAGACCATTATTCTGATCATTACAACTGCTTTAAAGATAGTTTTAGAGTAACAGACATGCATGAAACCTGTAATATAACTCCTGTATTGTTGAACGATATATGTGGGGAATTACCAAAAATATTACTTTTCAAACAAAAGTTCTTTTGTGTATATATATGTATATATTTTGATGGAATAATCATATCATCTGGTCAATAATATATGCAATTTTATGTGTTCAGAGTGGAGAGGAAACACCTCTGGAAAACACAGGTTTTGAATTGGGACAACGAGCACCAATATGGATACCTGATGTTCGAGTCACCATGTGTCAGTTGTGTACGAGTGAGTTCACTGTCACCTTTCGTCGTCATCATTGTCGAGCTTGCGGGAAGGTCAGCATTGCACATTAATCATGTAGTTTCATGAACTATCACAGTTCCCAAGTAATGCAGCTCACATAGTCTGTTTTCTGTTAAATCTGAACTCTATAGTGTTGGAAAACATTGATCTATATTTAACATAAATACTTTACAGTATACAAATAGCTAAAGTTTCTTATAGATAATTTTTGTGAATGGGTCTACCAACTATTTTATGTCTTTGTGAGGGTAATCATTTTTCTTGCATCTTATAAGTTTTATTTTTTTACTTTGAAGATTTAGTGTTTCATTTCTGTCAAGCATCAACAGTAAAGGTTTTTGTTTTCTTTCAGGTGGTCTGCTCTGCTTGTTCAGCAAGCCGTGCTCCACTTCGCTACCTTGGATTTCGACCAGTGAGAGTTTGTGATGAATGTTTTCCAAAACTCCGACAAGGTAAAATATTGTTTTGTTATTAATTTTTTTATTAATTCATGAATTTTTAGGATTTGATGTAAAGCCCTTTACTCACCACTAATAACCTAAAATACAAAGTTTTATTGTTTGTTTGTTTTTTAAATTGTAGTATGTTCTAATATTTGTTTTAAGTTGTAGTGCGTATTGAATGTATAGCATCCAACTAGTGTGTGTGTGTGGAGTTGCATGTTTAACATGACTATAATTTGATAAAATTATGATTGTACCGCAGAAGCCATAATGTCAACATAGTTTATTTTTGTACAGTTATTATATGTCTGAAGTATTTTATTCTGTTGCTACATATTTTGTTCTAATGTCTATCAAAATATACACTTATTTCTTGTACTGTGATTAATAACTGGTGTAAAACAACTGTTTTTTTTATCATGTATGCATACATATATGTATATGTATGTATGTGTCTGTGTGTTTAAATATACCTGTCTTAATGGTGGTATGTTGGATTTCCTGTAGCCATTAGCCTAGTTAATATAATTAACCTCTCTGATATCCAGCTTTTATGGTAAACCAAACTGTTGATCTGTTAGTCTGAACTTTGTGTATTTGTTTTTTAAACTACTTATTCAGTGTTCATGTTCTATTGCAATTCTTTATGCTGAAATGTACAAATTTTATCACTGGAGTAGAGGGAATTTTTTTTTAATGTGTCCCAGGGATGCAGGTTAAAAATATCTTCATAATACTCTTTTAATCCTATTTACCATTTGCATAGCTTTCAATAAAATTTTTAGATTGTTTGTTCTGCATTTTACTTTGATGTAGCAGTACAACATTCATACTGTTTCATATGATATTGAGGGTAGATATTTTCTGTCTCATTTTACGGAATTCACCACATTGCTGTTGATCTTCGAAATCATGTACCTATCAATGAGAAGGACCTTGTGACAAGAAGAGTAGGGAAAACATCTTGGGCAAACAATTCCAATGCAGCAGATGCTACTACATTTAATAAATAATAGAGGAGAAAATTAAAATTTCTGGTGCTTTTATGTTGTGTGTAAAAAATATAAGGAAACTCCTTTTTTTTTTTTTTCAAGTAATTGAATCCTTGTGAATAAAAACCTTAAAGTGTTAGTGTGAACAATGTTATTTAAACTATATGCCCACTCTGAGTAATTCTGTCCATGTAATGTGTTTGTCGTGATCAAGCCAAATTAATAAGTCTCTGTATTCGTCTGTTTTTTTATCTATGAACAAATACTTATAAACATTGCATGAAAAATGTGTTAAATCTTTGAACTAAAACAACTGCAGATATCTACTTTGTTTCTTGAGTTTAGGAATGTGTGATTTTTTTAACATATTTTTTTGTATGGGTCCTAAATGCAGTACAACCTGGGGAGGATCTTTTTTCCTGTTTTTATATTCATAGGCCTAAAATAAATGCCAAACTAATCTGTCTTCCATATGAAACTTATGATAGTCCTAGTTAAATTGATAATAATGTTTGGAAGGTTACCAAAACATCAAGCAAAGAGTTACTCTATGAGAAACAAAAGAGATTCATCAGGCTCAGTATATTTTGTATATAGAATTTAACTAGTAATAAAACTTAATTTCAGAAACAAAAGAAATTCATCAGGCTCAGTATATTTTGTATTGACTAATAGCAATGTCAAATGCATGGGTAAAGCTTATGGAAAAGGTAGTGGGAAAAAGACTTGCATAAGATTGAGAAGAGAGAGATTGTATGCCTAACAAAATGGTAGGGGTGAGACTAAAGAGATCTACAACCTTAAATGTCGAGACAGTCACACACAGAATTTAACAGTGCTCCAACATCACAACACTGCATAGTAGAGCTATTTGACATTGAAGATGTCTACAATCAAGTGGATGTTGGTCTTTTTGCAATGAAGCTAAATTCTCTCTGGTCTTGAAGATTCTAGTATGATGGATATTGGTTATATTGGACACCGGGTGCTGTCAGCTGAAATTTGGCAAATGAAAATCTGGCTTGGCACAATGATCCCCACTGGGCCCTGTATTCTTGAACATATACACAGATGATCTGATAAGCAACTGGAAGGCCCCAGAATGACACAATATGCATTTTCTGACAATATAATTATTACAAGCATCTTACACATGTAAACAGAAGTGACAGAGGTTCTCCCAGTACCCAACAAAATCCTCTGTCACTGAAATACAGATAACCAAATGTCCACTCAACCAGTTAAGGTCTGATGAATATTGGATACTAGATCTCAAACAGATATTTCTCACTTCACACTGACATCTGCAGATAGAATGGTTCCCACTTTTCTGGATGTTGTGATGGACTGCAGAATGACAGTGTCTGCACATATTGATCATCTGATAGAGAAATTGGTGAAGAGTTTTGCCCTTCTCAAATATGCTGCAACTCAGAAAGTGCAGCAAAGAAGCTTCATCAATCTGATGTAAACAACAGTCATTACCAGAATAGAGTATACAATCCACTTATGTGCATCAGCAGCAAAATTGGCAATGGTCAAGTTACACAAGGTGCAGAAAGCAGCCATGATACCTGCAACAGGAGCAGTCAAACTAAAACCATGTGACACACTGCACTTTTGATTTAGTTGAGCAGCATTACAAAAATATAACGATTTCTAGTCAAACAAGTGCTATTCAGGACAATCATAACCATATCTCCATCACTGTATCAGCAGTTGAGAGGGAGGAAGGACAAATACAAATACTGAAATTGATAAAGTTGTGGGTCAGTGAAGCCAATAAAGATGTGGAGGAGATATGTCCATTGGAAAACATCAAGGATGTTGAGTGGAACCAGGCAGAAGACATTAAGTTAAACACAGTGAAGATTGGCAGCAGGAGTGGAGAGATAGATCAGTACTGGTCAACATGATCAAAATCAAGGAATGGGTATACCAGTAGAATCCAACACTAATCATAGCAATGGATGGCTCAGTTAGGAAAGACGTGACTGCATGGATATTACTGTTTGTCTTGTCAGTAACAAAACTGGACAATCCAGTTTATTCATGGCAGAATTTGAAGAATATGGGGATGCAATTGTCTGGTTGATTAACAACATTAAAATTCTCTACAGATTAAACTCCTGACAGACTCTCTAAACATAACACAAAACTAGAGACAGGTTTTGTTCAAAAAACTTGGGTAAAACCTTTGAGAGACTTGAAGGTTTATCTGATAATGATCTATGTCCTAGGCCGAATGGCTGAAACCAATAGGCCTAAAATTTGTGTTAAAAATTATGTTAACTGCAGTTGGTATTTTTCCACATTACTCTTAATTTGTCTATTGCAGATCCATAATCAGAGGTGTGTAAAGTATTATAATTCATGTATGAATGGCATTTCAAAGAATCTTTTGTCTCTTATTATCCAAGCCATCTGGAAGTTCTAGTATTGAACGAATGACCTCTTTAGCAGTGACTTGTGGGAGACAAAAGATAGATCTGAAATGCTATTTTTACACATGTAATTCTGAATATCAACTTGACAAACTAAGATGAATCTGGGGAAAAACAATCTTTGGTTAATGTGATTTTTATTATTGGTTTCTAATATTTCTCTAGTTTTTTAGCTTTTAAGTCATAACTGTCACAGTAGCATAATATTAAACAAAAAATATGGATCACTTAGCTTGTAAGGCACAGCCCTTGGGGAACTTGGTAAGACCTCCAAATGATATTATCAATGAAATACCATGTAGACTGAAGGAATAGAAGAACATGATGCAGAGTTCACAATGCTCAACTGGAAAACTGGAGAAAAAAAATGGGTGGAAGTATGGAAATGGAGCAAGCATGAAAGTATGTTTACAAGTCCTACTTAAATCATATTGAATTAGGCAATATTACTAGAAGAACCTTGAGGAGACTATTGAAGGGAGGAGAGCCTGTGACAAACTCTCTAAGCATAAAATAGAAGTGAAAGTAATAGTATTACAATCATCATATTTATGTCGGACACCTGGTATTAAAAATAAGTGATACACAATAATTAACAGTGATAAGGTTTAAAGTAAAAATGGTTTCTATCTGCCAGCTGCTTTCCTGTAGTTGGTTGTTTGGAATAAGAGATGATGCAACACTACTTTGACTGTGCACTGACAAATGTGCTGTAACCGGAACCACAATTAAAGGGAGGATAGCCTGTGCTTTGCTTGTGCTAAATGCCTTTTGCTTGTGAATAACTAAATAATATTAGAATACAAAAGTTTTTTTTAGTATTAATAAACCTGGAGTATGTAATTTACAACAACATGGGAGTTTGATACAGATAAATATTTTATTTATATTATCATTAACATGTGCAGAAATATCCATTAGTACTTGGTTTGGTGTACATTTTTTATTAAATTGTTATATTGTTCGAGCACACAAGAAACATACATACATGGTATTCTATATAGACCAAAGAGTGTGTGTGTATATTTCAGCTAGTTTAATCACAGGATTAAACATAAAAATTCTTAGGAATTAATATTTCATGAAATATTATGTTTAATGAAAAATTTCAAATAAATTAATTCTTCTCAAGTTCAGAGCGCCAAATTTATGAAGTTCGTAGAATATCCATATTTTAATACATCTCCATATATTCACGGATCTGTAATTAAGCGTACTTTTTATTGAACCTTTCAGAGTTTACTGAATACTCTGTGGGAGGTGGGGATTCTGGGGGAGCATCAGAATCTGCAGATACAGAAAGTGACACTCCTCATTCAATGGCAGATTTGAAAGCTCAGTTTAAAGAAAATCTTCGACACACTGGAAAGAAAATAAAACGAAATTTACCCAGTGTGCTGAAAGAGGTAATAATACATTTTTTTTCAGTTCTAAAATAATAAGACTAGGAGAACATATAGAAACACAGTAGTATGAGGTCTAAAGACTGTTAAGTATTGTTCAACATGTGGTTGCTGATTGTAATGTGGTATCTCAAAGCATGTTTAAGATCATTTAAATGCAAAGAATGAGACATCGCTTGGAATATGGGAGAATTCTGACTCAGCACGATAAGTAACTTTGAATAACCATTGAAATGCAACAGAAGTTTTATTGGTAACTTAAGGTATTTTAAAGTTTCAGTTTTTCATACTTTTTGAAAGTTACCATTTTTTCACACTTCCAATGTGTAAAACAGTTGTGGAAGACATACGACTAATTGATAAAATTGGTCATAAATATGTTTTCGTAGATGAATGAATTAATGAATGTGATAACTGAAGAGTCATTAAAATTTGGTAAACATCTAAATGGTTGTAAAGAATTTGGTTATTAACATCTTTTAAGGAATTGTTTTATGTTTTCATGATTAATTTTGTCCTTATTTTTTATGTTTCTTGCATATAAGGTTAGTGCCAATGACCAAGGTTCTTCTAATAGTGGTTACTTGCAGAGGAGAGGACGGAGAGGTTGGAAGCGTTACTGGTTTGTCATTAAAGACAAAGTTTTATACATGTACAAAGCAAGTGAGGTAATTGAAAAAAAGATCCTTGCTATCAAGTTTGTTGTTTTTAGTAAACATAATAAAATTTTTGATACATTGCTTTTAGTTTTACTTTTTTGTAAGAACTTTAAATATGTCTGTATTATCATTTTATTTATGTTTTTCCTCAGGCTTATCAGTGTAATCTTTCAGTATAAAGGTTTTAAACTTGCATGCTTAGCAGTAAGAACAAGTACCACAAACAAATATTTTAATATTCAAATACGATGATGAGGAACCCACTTTGAGACTAATAATGGCTGGAGACGGCTTGAATGGGTAATGAAGAAAAACTTTAATGTAAGTTTAACATAACAGCAAATGTACAACGTTTCAACAAGGTTTTGTCATCATCAGGTACATTTGCTGTTATGTTAAAATTATATTAAAGTTTTTCTTCATTACCCATTCAAGCCATCTCCAGCCATTATAAATATTTTAAGAGTGTAATTGTTATTATATATTTATATGTACAAAGCATTGTAGTAAGAACACAAGGATGTCTTAAAACCAACCATTATTATTCTCTTTACAAAAGTTTTCTTTGGTAAACAATCTTTATTAATTATTACTATTAAAAACTTACTTTTTTTTAACAAATGCAACTTGTGTATAACGTTTTTAGAAAGCTGAATCTAGATTTTTAAAATTTGCAAGGGCACTACAAAATATGTATCATGCTGATGTTCTCCTCTTACTTGAGGCCTGGCATGGCCAGGTGGTTAGGGCACTCGACTCGCAATCTGTCGGTGGTGGGTTCGAATCTCCGTCCCACCAAACATGCTCGCCCTTGCAGCCGTGGGAGGGGCATTATAATGTGACAGTCAATCCCACTATTCGTTGGTAAAAGAGTAGCCCAAGAGTTGGCAGTGGGTGGTGATGACTAGCTTCCTTCCCTCTAGTCTTACACTGTTAAATTAGGGACGGCTAGTGTAGCCCTCGTTTAGCTTTGCTCAAAATTCCAAACAAACAAACCTCTTACTGGAAACCCATAATGAGCCAGTAAGAAAAATGTGATTAACATTATTGTCAATCTTATCATGATGTAATAATAAACCAACCCCCATCAACAAAAATCTGTTAATACATACTATCATTCATCTGATTTCTTATGTAATTTTACTCATACTAATTGTGGTAGCGACACAATTTTATTGTTTTATAATGTACACAGTTAGGAAATGTGGGTCATCTTACCAAAGTACTTGCATGAAAACTACTCAAAATATCTTAGCTGTTAACTCTTTAGTACCAAGTGCAATATAGTGTTGTTTCAAACATATTATACGAGGAAAATGCCTGTTTATTTGTGTATTTTACTAAGCATAATAAAAGCAAGGAACAAATCAATGGTCATATGTTATTGTTGTTTTTACTGTATTTCTAATTAAAATCTGAATTGTATTTGTAATTAGTAGCTGATTTTTCTTACTATGTTTCAGAAGTTTCAAGAATAACCATGAGCTTTTAAAGTCATCAAATGATTGACTTTTGTTAAAATATTTAACCTCAAAACTGCTGTTAAATTATGGAAATTAAAATTATTAATAGCATGCTACCCCTTATGTTTCTGTAACTTTCAAAAACCAGTTGCTGGCTTTACGTAACTTTTATAAATTGTACATTTCCATGAATTTTCAACTTGATACATGAATTACACATGCACACACATGTACGTAAGCTTCTTTCTGACTCTGATTTTGAAGGCAGTAGAAACATTTCATTGTATTTTATGTTTTTTTTTCAGGATGTTGCTGCTTTGGCAAGTATTCCTCTTTTGGGCTATACTGTAGACACGTTTACTGAGGTAAATATAGCTGTTTAATCTTATGGACAGATTACACTATTACCTAGCTTACATCCTGTGATGTCAAAGTAAATGTTTGTGATAACAAAAAAATCAAGTATTTTATAAGATGTCAGGTAGGTTGTAGTTGTAAAGGATTCAGAATCTTTCAACACAATATTCTTTTCACAAACAATTCTGGCATAAATTCATTATATAGGCATTTGTAGATTTTTTTCCCCAAAATTACACATGTATTTCAAAATTGTAGTTACTACACAAATGCACAATAAATGACTTGTAAATTATGAATCGCATAGTTTAGAAGAAAATGCATAATTACATGTTAAACTTTGTTTAAACTGTTTAACAAAACTAAGATTGTTTTTGGTTATTTTGAATACATAATGATAATCTTCCATACTTCAAAAACATACCCCTTTTACACTTTTTTAAAAAAATGTGCCAATAATAAAATATTTTAGACTCTGAACATCAACATAAACAATTTTTAAAAGCAAAGAAAAAGAAAAACCCTCATGTACCAGTTCTCCTGCACTAGGTTTTAGATTTCAACATGGTCCTTAGTTTGATAAAATTCGTGCAGCAATATAAAAAGTTTTATCCAAATGTAATTCAGGGACTAGTGAATAAGTTTCTTTCCTATTTGGATACCTGATTGATGGTATGTAAGTAAATTTTCTATTTTTGAATCTTTGCTGTAAAATTATTTGGGAATTTTAAAGTTTGTTTGAAATTTATTTCATTTATTATTTTAAACTTCAAATTTTTATCCAATGTTTGTAGATGTCCAGTTGTTTACAATGAAGTTTATATCAAATTAAAATTTATTAGATTATTAAAAATATATTTATTTTCGTAGGAAATAGATGAAGTTGAAGGAAACTTACTGTTCCAACTGACACATCCAGGACAACCTCCTGTTTTGTTTCATGCTGATACACCTAGCTCAGCAGAAAGGTGATTTTGTTTTTTCTGCAACTCATTTTGCATATAGTGGGAGTTCACTTAGAATAATGTCTGTCTTTTCTATTAAATATGATTTATTAAATAAATGACAGTGGTAATGGTGTTAATATTAAAGCTTTATGGAGGCTTCTAGAATGATGTATTCTTGATTCTGGAAGCTTTCTTCTAATTACAAATTATATAACAAAATGAATATTGTACTCTTGCTAAGCAATTGTAATAAAGCTTGTACCTATATATATTGTAAAGTAAGCTATAAATATGCTATCTTCTTTCATATTTTACATCATTTACTCCTTTACCATAACTCTTTTTATTCTCAAGAACTCTGAGAGAATATAAAGCATGAAACCACTTTCTTCTTTCCTACAATTTTCATATTCTGTGTTCTTGTTCCATTTAGTATATGCAGTGTTAGATGTTACAAACCAAAGTTTAATGTTTTTTCAATATTTTTTTCATCATCATCCAGAGTTTAATTTGCAAGCAAGAGGGATGATATTTGTGTTGTTTGTAATACACTACACTGGAAATGAAGAAATATTTAATTCTATAGCATTATATTGTTGTTGTTTTAGAACATGTTTATTTTTTGTTCATTGAACCTAGTGGTGCTACTTTATTATTTTTTTCCTGTATGTATGTTTTCATAATATCAAATGTTTGTCAGTGTCAAGATAATTTTTTTATGCTACATTTGAACTTTTCTAACAGTTCCTATATTATTTGTGTTTCGTAGATGGATTAGAGCAATGGAGGAGGCAACTGTGTTGGAGTGATAAGAATTTTGGGTTTAGGAAGTATTTCAGAAGCATTTCATGCTTTCTTGTTTCTGGTTTCTTCCAATCCATGACGTCACAATACTTCTTCTGGAAAGAAAGAAAATGTTTCATCACAATATTTTTTTAATGAAAGAAAGCATTATAAGTTTATCTACAGTTGCTAATGTTTTACTTTGGTTTTTGAGTTTTTTTTGTTTTTTTAATTTTGAAATGATAGAACTGTTTGTACTCCAAAAACTTTGTGTAAATTACAAAAAATGTTGTTCTACTTGTCCATCAAAACTAAGAAAAGTCTCAAAGTAAGAAACAAACACCTGTATTTGGTTAAAAACATTTAAACATATAACTTATGTTATATTTCATTTAGCATAATTTTATGTCAGATAATGCAGGTTAAGAAACATTCAAATCATCTTAACCTAGTACATAATAAATTGGAAAATTTTGTCAATTAAATATGAGATAAAAGTTGCATAAAATGTGGAAAATAATATATATATGTGACATCGTAATGTGTCCTTGATCCTTGTATTTATTTATTATTATACTTTTAGTGTATCTAGATTTTGTGTAGGCCAGCATTTTTCCCAAAGTATTTACAACTCATGTTGGGCAGAGTGGAATAACAAGATTAGGAAAATATGCCTTTCTAGTATTTCTTGTCATAATTTAATGTTTAATGTTTACATACTTTATAGCTTGCAAGATGTTATATTAAAATGCCTCTACTGTATTATTTTAAAGGTACACGTGTATGCATATTGAGACAAAGTTTTGTCTAATTTAATTTTGTTTCCTCTTGTTGTTCTTGGAGGCTATCTTTAAACAAGTTTTTCTTTATCCAGTAAATATCACTTGTAAAGTCTAAATTTACTATATTTTATTTTAAGAAATAACAGTGTTAGTATATATTTTGCCTATTTTAAAAATGTATAAAATGGCAAAACTGTCTAATTAAGTTTCTAACTTTCATATTTTTATTGAAGCTACTTTGTTATAATGCTTATCATTGCAGTTGAAATATTTTCTTTCCCACATCTTTCACTCAGAAAAAAAATCTTGACTTTTTTTTATTGCATATTCTGATACAAGTAGAGGTTTGGATTAACTTCTCAAAAATACTATTGGAACATATAAAGTTGCCAAAACGTTATATAAAAGTTATTTTATCAGCATTATTACTTTTGGTATCACATAATCACGAACAATCACGAACAATTTGTGGTAAATTAATTTAGTCATTTTGTATAATCAATATTTCAATTTTCATTCGAGTTGCACATAAAAGTAGCGTATTTGTTTTAGAGAAATGTTATATCTTGTTTTGACTCTTAGAAATCTGTTTGTGTCACATTTGGTGCTTGGTTTTGTAGTTTCTTTATACAACCACTTGTGAAGTTGTTTCTTTACTGTGTATCCTTCATTAAAAGAAGGTTTAGAAGGAAGATCTGAATTCATTGGAAAGATCTTTTAATAGAGGTCGTCAACATTTTTTGGTGATCTGTACTAGCTCCAAATGGGTAGGTGAAATTGGTTAATATTTCAGAATTTTCTTTTTATTGTAGTCTATTCTGTTTAAGAAAATACAGTCACAAGAAGTATTTGGGTTATGGAAAGTTCAAGTAAAATAATAGTGGTAAGCTAAATTCCAAACATCTTCCAGTACAGGAAGAAAATTGAAAAATTCAGTGTTATTATAGTGTTTTGTGTGAAGTAAAAAAATGCAATATCAGGTACTTCTAACCTACCTCATTATACATTAAGTGAGATAATTAACAAAAACAAAATGTACCCCAAACATTTTAAAGAGCTAGTAAAATCAAACCTGTCAAAAATGAAACAAATTAAAGACATTTAATTTACTTTTTTTAACTGTCGTTGCTTGCTGATTTTGGCGTTGCTTGCTGATTTTGGCGCAAAGCTACTCAAGGACTATTTGTGCTAGTTGTCCCTAAGTTGGAAGTGATAGACTAGAGGGAAGTCAGGTAGTTAACACTTGTGGGCTACTCCAATCAATGGTGGGATTTGACTGTCACTTTTATAATGCATCCACACACCCAATGAGCAGAGTGCATTTCCTTTGTTGGTAACAGGGCGTGAACAATGGATCCACATCCCAGCACATTTACTACTGCTCGGCCCCCTACTGTTTTAACTCCTCAGGTATGAAGTGAGGTGTATTACACCAAATCAGTGAAATCATTGCAATAATTAACCATATAATTATGTAGTCAATAGAGGATTAAGTGTCATAGTCACGTATATAACACACAAGGTGAAATGGTTCTTCTATTTGTACAAGTGTTTTATCACAATTCAAACCAATTTAAGAATTGTTAATTCACTAACTTCATTATCCAAACAGATCCAAAGTTGTGGTTTTGGAAACTAAATTACATAAAGAAATACAAATTCGGTCGAGTGGCTTCAGATGATAATTTTTACCACAAATATTTACTTAATGAGCAACTTAATTGATATTTCATAACTTCTGAACAGCAAAACTCTTTAAAAATTCTGCATGAATTTAAGAAACTGTACATTTTACATCATAATTTGAAGGAATTTATAGGACTGGTTATATAGTGTCCTCATTACTGTTCATATATGTAAATTATAATACATTAATATAATGATGATAGATTTATTTTAATTGGGCATTTAAGGACCAATAGGGAAAATATATAGGAGTGTTGAAGAAACATGTCTTGTAAACCTATTAAATATTTGAACATTGTTATGAGAAATACTTTAAATATTTAAAAATGTTTGCTTATTTAAAGTTGTCAATCTCGAACAGTAGTTGATAATATGCAAGTCTAGAAAGTGTGTATAAAAGTCATAGATATGTAAAGAAACATTAGATGCTATTTGCTTATGTAAGTTTAGAAAGTGTGTGTAAAAATCATAGATATTGTAAAGAAATATTAGATGCAATTTGCTTATGTAAATAAATATATTTTGCTGAATAATTTTTGCTGGGTTTATGAGAAAAAAAAATTTAAGTAATGAATAGGGTGATTCCACAGCAAAACATTGTATATAAGATATCAAAACTGCCAAATGTAAGCGATCTTTGATAATTATCTAACTTGTCTATGCATTCACCCTGTGAGTGGTTGAATGCAGGAATGGATAGTGCAGATTTTCCTCTCATCCCAAATGCTCTCTAGTTTCTGATCTTGTTCCATCTCTACATCCCAACAATTTATAGATAAAATTTTTTATCGCTAGTGATATAAGACAGAATCTATAATATGTTTTGTCAATTAAAAGAAGGAAAGACCCTAATAATAGCTCGAACGCTTTTACAGGATTGTTCTTTTGTCATTCGTCCCCCTATGAGTCAGAGGTAAGTTTATGGACGTATACTATTAAAATACAAGGTTCGATTCCCTGCGGTGGAGAGAATGCAGATAGCTCAATGTGTGGCTTTGGGCTGAAACAACCCTTCTCATCCAGAAGCATCTTTTACTTCATATGCTTAATAAGGAAAAAGTTTCAAAATCGCACAAGCTATTTTTGATAGTTTTTAGAATTGAAACTCACGTTATATTCTCCTAACTTGTGACACTCTATCAGCATGAGTAAAGCAGAAGTCTGAGTGAGGGTGAATCTGAGAAGCCCAGCTATATAGGAGAAGGAGAATTGAAACAATGTAGTATGATAACTGATAGTTTGGGAAGGAGATACAATGAGGAACGCATGTTTATACGTATAATCCAGGAAAGATTAAAGTTGTGGCTAACTATCCAAAATTAGGTGGACCTGGAAGAGATGGGAGTGGCGAACCTTTTATCTGGTCACGCAAAGTCGTCCGAGATCATATGACTGGTTGTAATAAAATTGGTGATGACTTCTTTTTTTTTCTCAAAGATACAGTCTATACTTAATATAACAAGTATAATAATTGCTTGAAATTTTATAAATACGAGTAGGGATCTATATATATACATAATCTAGCAAGCTATAGTAAGTATTGAAACAAGTAACAACTATATTTTTTTAATTAAAAAATAAATTTCCCCTACTTTGGCTCAGACTAACATAATTACAGTGATTTGTCAAAGTAGGGATAATTTTTTTAAGGAACTTGGTTTTTGTAGTTTTGATTTTTTTGTTTCAATACTTTTTGTACCGTTAAAACTTTCTATATTACAATAGCTAGCTAAATTACGTATATATCAATTCCTACGTGTCTTTATAAAATTCAACATTTTTTTACTATAATTCTTTGTTGTTTTTTTTATTAGCTATATTTTGTGCGCCAGAAATATCAAGCGTGGGGCATGCGTATACTCGATTCGATTTT